TCACTCCAAGCAATTAAAAATTTATTACAATTTAGTGCTACCGAAATTTTTGTGAGAGCTTTCAGTGATCCGCGTCGCTTGCATAGCTTGTGTTCGCAAAATTAATAGCAACCAGCATAACTTCTATGTAAGAATGACTAAAAAAAGTCATTTACTTTTTTAACCACCACCATCCGCCGCACAACACTGCAAATGCAATCTCTTTGCTCAACTCCGGCACTCTCCCTCTCATTATGCACTCGCTATGCAATATACATACTTACATACACGCGCACACCGCATGGCAAAGAGCACCGTTGGCAAGTGTCGCATTGCAGTTGCCCCCTGCTCCTGTTTGTCAATATTTCTTTGCGCATATATTTACACACATATCTACAAACAAACACACACACACATTTATATGTATGTATAAAAAAAAACACACATATGTGCATGCGTTGCATGTGCAGTCAAATATAGTCAATAGGTGTGCGTGCGCATGTGCTTGTGGCGCGTCGTGTGAGTGACCTATCTCAATGCAATTGCATGTGTCGTTTACCATTTTTAAGTTGTTCTCATTTATCTTCGCTTAAATTGACGCAGGCAAGCAGCCGGGCACACCGTTTTGTTGCTGCTGCATTTTATTGTCGTACAGTGTGTGAGTAACCCTGATCGGTGTTGTTGCTGTTATTATTTGTTGATGTTGTTGTTGTTGGTGTTCATATTGCATGTGAAGTGGTTTTATTATCGTCAGACAACTATTTGATTTATTTATACATAATTTATTATTCAACTTCGAAGTTTGAAAATTAAAACGGCGCGCCACACAGACATATATATGTACATGTGTATATACTGTAACTGTAACATATAAATGCAGTTTAACTTTCGGTTTTATCGTAAATTTGCTGCATGAAAATCCTTAATTGTATGATATTTTGTTTAATTTTATTATTTTTCATAAAATTGTGAACCCACAGCATGCAATTAAAATTATTAAAAATGTGTGTTATTGTATTTTTTTATTATTATTGGCTTATTGGATTTTTTTGTAATCCAATGCTTTTCAATTCTCTCAAAAATAGTCTTATGGTAGCCCTCTCCTTTGATATAACAAAAATTAAATATTTAACATAGCAAGCTGTGAATGTGTATGTTAGCCGTTATAATGCAGAAATATTAGTGTGAAAATATGTCTCAAGGCATTGGTGCTAAAGCTTTCAAAGTGTTTACATCGCAAAGTGGAGTGTAAAATGATCACGAATTAAGACAAGAAATTATGTAACAAGTATTAGGCAGGTCAATAAAAAATTGAGCATTAATAGCAGAAATAACAGAGGTAGCATTTTCTATTAGTATATTCCACTTTTATTAAAATACATATCAGAGCACCCTATAAACTTGTCGCACTACAATCGTGGAATTAAAAATTCATGATTGATTGAATTAAGCAATTAGACCAGCATAGTATTTTTAAAAAATCCATTTTATTTTATTTAGAGAACACTTTATGGTCCTAAAAGTATTAGTCAATTGGTAGAATTGTGAAAAAATTCAATCTACCGCAGCTTTTATCGACACTGTATAGTACTCGAAGGCTATCGCATGTACAATATAAGTTTGTAATTTTAACTATAGCTTGACAGTAATTTTATTTACTAAACTATTTACGATTTTTTATTATTATTGCAACATTTTTATAAACACTTTACTACTAATTTGTCCTTAAAAGATTTAACCTTTTTTACAACTCCTACATTTTGCGTAAAGCACGTTTTCTATAGATTAATATCACATATTTTCTGTTTCTGACACTACTTGGTCCTATAAGGGCCATTCCCCATCAAGGCTCTCTCAAATAAGTTGCTTCTTAAGATTTCTCTACTAGCCGCCATTTTGTATAAAAATTTCAGTATTAATATTTGTTATACAATGAAATATATATTTGATATATAAATTCGATTCCTTTTCTTTACGCCGAGAATAAATTATCAAGTTAGGCCGTTATTGCTTTTAGACTACACGAAAAGGGGTTCTTTTTTTTACTTGCAAGCTATATAATAATAGAATATTATAATGCAATTTTTTTTTCAAGTTTATAGAAAAGTATTTGTTTGAAGAGAAAGTCTAGAGTCTCAAATAAGAGTATTGAAAAAAGTAATAGCTCGAAAAGAAAGAAAAAAAGGTTCAAGGTCATTTGGTTTAAGATCATGGTATATTATATATAATTGACTGCCTTTACAGCAATTACAATGCTTTAGGACTCACTTGGGAGGCAAATGAGCCTAATGATGACTTGAGTGCTGGCAAGCGTTCTTGTAAGGGATTCACAACCAACCAATTCTAATTTTGAATATAGCGCTGAAACTTATTTTTCTGTTTTACTATCAATGTAAAATTTATAATATTGATAATTTAAAGCAATATTTTTATTTTCGACAAATTTCTATTTATTATTTATAACAAAATAGAATAAGCTAGTGCATAAATAACTATACGAGTATATACAAATATACGAAAGCGCCAATATATTTTATTCAATTTTTTTTTTTTTTTTTTTTTTTGTTGCGTTGCGCTAGTGCATGCAAGTCATGCACTCCTTTTTGGCTCAAGGCCTTTTTATAAGTTTGTTTCGCAATTGCGCAAAAGCGCTCCGCAAACACACACACGCACGTCGACATGGCAACACGCAGATATACCATAAATGACCGACTTGCAGTTGCAGCTACTTATAGATAAATATATACTATGAATGTGAGCATTTGGGCACGAGTGTGCGCAACCCCAATAGATAGTCAGTGCTTGGAAACTGCGAGGGCGGTGGCAGAGCAAGACAAAAACCAAACAGTTTCATATCGACGAGCTTTTAGGCTCGACTATAAGAGTAATTCCGGCGGTGGGAAATCATACTAGACAATATTATGAATATATGTATGTACAAAATAAATAATAATAAAAAGGCTATATTTGCGTATATTGAAGTCAATAAATATAGACGTTGCTGCTGCCGCTGCTGTTCCAACAATAGAGACTGCAATCAGCAATCAGTCGATACCGACATAATTAAATTGCGTGAGCGGTTTTTCCGTATAGGCCGCTTTTGTTTAATCAAAATGTGTCTGAATAACGGCATACAAGCATAATTTGCACATGTGTGTAAGTGTGTATGTGTATTTTTAAATTTATTTCAAATTCACGCAAATCTGTAATTGTTAGCAATTTATTTTTTATTATTGACAATGGTGTTAAGGTCGCGGTGTGCCAATTACATATTGAGAAATAATCAAGCTGTATATGTACAATTATAAAATAGATAATATTTCTATTTTTTATACTTTAGATTGCACTTTAGTTAAAATAAGCAACATTTAAAGAGCAATCGTGTAGTGTTTGTTTCTTATTTATCTAAGAAACACGAAAAACGTTAACTTCGGCTGCACCGAACTATAATACCCTTCAAGGTGCATTTCTTATAGCATAAAACGGTATAAAAATATCTTGATTTTGATTTTGATCAGTCAGTTTGTATGGCAGCTATATGCTATAGCGATCTGATCTGAAGAATACCTTTAGAGATTATCGACTTGCCTTGGATAATAATCGACGCCAAATTTCGTGAAGATATCTTGTCAAACAAAAGAGTTTCCATACAGTAACTTGATTTTGTTCGATCAATTTGTATGGCAGCTATAGACCATAGTTGGTAGCAAACTTAATATACCCTGTTCAGGGTACAAAATGTATATTTAACCAAAAGCTATTGAAATTCGCGTCAATCACAGGCATCCTAAAGGATGACTACTTCTCATGGACTTCGTAACTGAACTCCACCTAGTATCGCAAAGAACTAAAACTGGCCTATGCGTGGCTCATTAGCCTACCAGACTAACCTAACCTAATCTAAAAGCTTTTTTTTCCTAAACTCAGGCAGACAAAAAAAATTACAAGCGTGTCGACTTCTCGAATTAACCTTTATCAATAAATCTTGTAATCATGAAAAACTATTTTGGAAAACTATTTCAAGCGTTTTGTGGCTTTTGCGGTAATATGGATTAATTTCCTGTACCAAAGTTACAAGCTTTGTTCAAAAACATGCTAAATTTTTTTAAAGGTGTCAAAAATGTAAGAAGTAATGTAGTATTTACATACCGCATTCAAAATCGTTCACGGAGAACTCTAGAGCTTTACATAACCGTTAATTCTGTATCTTCGAAGATTTTTTTTTTTGCCTGGTCCCTTCAAAAATCTCAAGATGACACAGGGATGTTGTGGTTAAAGAAGTACAATTTTTTTAATAAGAGAGCAGGTATTAAAAAAAGTATTTGCAAAACCACAAAAATTTAATACGACCAAGCATATGTAATACCCGTAAATTTTACGGCGTAAAACATACATCATATACAGACATATAGATATGCATATATAAATGAATACATATACATATATACATACAACATGCCTCATATGTTATGTATAAGTATATGTAAATGTCTTCAACAATTTGTGTAAGTTCTCATACTCCAACGAATTAAAAGCGGAAGAAGGCACAAAGAACGAAGGCAGAACATGACCCAGTTTTGTCAGAATATGCGGCTGACTGTTGCTTTATAATCGCATTATTGCTTAATTGTCGGACGCACTCGTAACCCCACAACCCAACAGCGCAACGACAACGGGAAAACAACTTACTCGACAACAGCGTGAATTGAACATGCAAATGTGGGCAGGCAAGGGAATGCATGCATAAGGCAACACATATTTACAATTCTATATACTCTGTATACATATATGTATGTACTCAAATATATTTTTATATGAGTATATACAACTTATGTATGTATATATGTGTGCTTGTAAGCTTATAGGCTTTACTCCTTATTCTCCTCCATGCGACGAATAAATACTGAAAATATTTTATGTGAATGTAAAAACGCTTAAATAATAAAAAATAATATTTAAAAAAAAAATTAAATTAAAAAATATTCTTTTTTATATTAACGTTTTTTGTTTCTTTTTTTCAGATTTTGTAACTTCGCATTGATAAAGTGTTGAATATAATCTCAGAAAAATAAGAACAACATATACACACAAATATATATATACTTACAACAGCAACTCCATACTACATCACGACGCCTGCATTTACTTGAACTATACTAAAAATAAATCTACCGAAGGAAAGCCGGCGGAAACACACAAAACGGAAAAAGGTGAGTGAGTCATTTTGAAAAAAAAATTTATTTTACTTTTTACGCTTTTCTATTAATTTTATTTCTTTTGGTTTTACAATGTATGTAAGTATGTAGGCGTGTGCTTACCGGATTCTTTATTAAAAATGCATAACTCCAATTCATCGCAACAAGCACGTACATATTCCTATATGTTTGTATGTGTGTCGCTACTTATTGCAATTCAAAACACACTTATAAGTTTACAGTTATTACAAAAAATATGCATACATACATAACTGCTTACAACAAACTTGGTTATCGTTTAAAAACCTATTCATTATTCACTGATTTGTATTCAGACTTAAAGTTTTAATTATGATTTTTGGAAATGCACACACTTACATATGTTTCGAAGTAAGCGCATACAAAATTTGGTGCATGTTTAGCGCACTCCATTCATGCATGCATGCGCCGAACATATCCAAAAATATGAAATTTCGTTGAAACCTATTAAAAGTCACGCAATTCCTTTCAAGCGTTAGTGTAACGCATTGCATTTTAAAATTCAGCAACAATTAAATATTTCGAAGACAAGCCAAGCTAGTAAACTTGGCTCTAAACGCATGTACAATAGCGCATATGTAGGGTTGTAAGAATTTATATACATAAAACACCCATAGTTTTATAGATATGTAGATTCCCTGCCAAGGTCCAAAAAAATAGCCGTTTACAACAGTTAGTTAGTTTAGAATAAGAACATAGTTACGATACCAATTAAAGTTTATACCCTAAACAAGGTATACTAAGTTTGTCACGACAAACACCCAAAAGATAACGTCGGAGACCCTATAGAGTAAATGTAAAAAAACTAAGCGGGACACGCTGAGTAGATTTGGCACTGTCTGTCTATACATACGCGAATTAGTCCCATCAGTTTTTGAGATATCGATCTGAAGCACGCCCTTTCTTCTTCAATAAGCCTTTCATTTCTCCAAACCGTCGATATTGAAGCACTACAAGATATAGCTGCCAAAAAAACTGACCGACCAAAAGCATAGTAAAGATCTTTTCATACCGTTTGATGCTATAAGAAATGCACCTGTGAACGGTATTATACCTACGGAGGGTATAAATTGAACAAGTCAATTATGTGTATGTAGTATGAGACTGATATATTCTCACGATCTGGCAAATCACATATATGTAATATGAACCAAATTTTTAGTTATCCAAGTGGGATCCTTCTTCGTCGCCCTTGTCGTAAAAACAACCTCTTAACTTAACGTAAACTACCAAAAAAAATGGCCGACAAGTAGGGCTTATGCTTCATACTAGTTGTCAAGTAATTAATATTATATAAGTATAACAGTAGATGTTAAGAAAACTAGCACACGCATTCTATTTTATAACGGCGTACAAATACGAAGAGTAACTGAGACGAATTTTTCTATTTTTTTGTTAACAAAAACAAGCATTACTTATTCATTACTTATACGAAAATTATAACTCCTTTGCTAAAGCGTGCTTATGTTAACCATTCTTCTAATAGTGATATACCATATAATCATAAGATCTTCAAACGATCCACTTTCAATCTCGTAGGTGGCAATAAATCTCCCCACTCCTTGGGATCTTTTTAATATTGAAATCAGGTAAAATTTGCAGGAAGCTTTAGTCATCAACGTAAAATTATTACACAGCAACAAATCGGTATCAATATTTAATGCACTAAATTTAAAAATTATTTATATAAATATATATATGTACATACAGTTTTTTTAAAATCGACCTAGATCTAGACAAACAGGTTTAATGAAGCTCAATAAAAACATATATTAATACAAATAAAATATATTCGAAGTGAAGCTATATGCTCACTATGTCCCAATTCCATCTCGGTACTATCTTTACTCCGACACAAATTAAGAAATCTCATAAAAATATTATTGCTGTGATTTATAGCATATTGTTACACCACATTATGGTACTATTTAAAACACGCGTTCCCCTTTTTAACATTGGTTCTGGGTCAATAAATACACATGCTTTACAGTCAGCGATTTGTTTCTTTTATAATTGCAAAATCATTCTTAATTTTTTTATAAAATCAAATTTGTATATTAATATTAATAATTTTTTTTTTAATTTCTGTATTTGTTTCCGGAAGAGTTGACATGGAATTATTTCGTAGAATATTATAACCTTTTTGCTCAAATTTAAATAATTTCTTTTTGAAAATCTGAATAAAAATAATTTTAAAAGCAAGTAGAAGATTTCGATTTCTAAGGCTAACTAAAACCATTTACTCTTTTCTATCCCTGAAACCAAAATTACTTAATGTACTGAAATAGTTTTAGTTTTAATTAAAAGTGCCATAAATATTTATTGGCCGAAAATTTTATTGAAATTCAAAGTAAAATTTGTATCCCATTTATTCAACGATCATACATATGTATATCTTTACTTGCTAAATTCCTTAGGTTATATAATTTTCAATGCTCTGAAAGTTATAAACGCCCAAAGTTTTATTGTTGTCAAAAGTTTTTTATTTCACTCCATTTTTGTAAAACCACGCGCATGCAAATTACTATCATTATTTCTACCCACATGTTTTGTCAAAATTGAAGTCTAAAGAAACAAGACATGTGGGGTAATAAATTTACAAACGTAAACACATACAGTATGTATAGTACACTTGACTTCTGAAGTGTTTTTCAATTTATATTTGCAAATACTTTGCTCATAAATTTTTTACAAGCAGTACATAGTTTTTTTTACCTATACACAGAGAAAGATTATTGGTATACCATTTACGGAAAAAATTATTTTTTTGTAAAATAAATTTCAAAATTTGGGGGTTACAAGCTGAACTGTGTCGTATCTACGTCTTTTCAACACTTTCAAATAAAATTATTTTTATTTTTTTGTAAATATTACCTCGTACCTCATACTCATACTATGCAACAAATATAGTTCACCTCAACTTTAGCTTCATACTACCCAGGAACGAGCGGGTTTCGCCATCGTTTAAGAATGAGCAGCACAATATTATCGAGGCCTAGATTTTTAATGATATTTTTATAGCCTATAATGGAAGAAGAATATGCTTCGGTTTTCATTTAGTTTAATACAGAGTAATATATTCTTACACAAAATGTTTACTATGCTACAAACCGCAGACCTGGATTTCTCAGTTTTTGAGATATCGATCTGAAATTTTCCCCACGTTCTTTTTTACACAAGATGCTGCTCATTTGTCGGAACCATCAATATCCGACCACTATGGAATATAGCTGCCATACAAACTTGCCAATCAAAATCAAGTCCTTGTATAGAAAACATTTTGTTTTGACAAAACATCTTCACGAAGTTCGGCCTGGTTTATTGTCTACAGTCTCCGAATAAATTATGCATATAGCTGTCATTTAAACTGTTGGATCAAAATCGAGATAAGTACATTTTTAAACCCTTCTATGCTGTAAAGAGATAGCCAAAGTTAAGGCGGTTTTTTTCAATACTTTTCCACGGATAATTTTATTTCTTAAATAAATTAAAAAGAAGTCCAATAAATAAAAATACATAAGTGGACGAATACAAATGCATTTAAAAATCATCAATCCATCGCACTCCATTTGTAGAATGACATCAGCATTAACTATTTATTAACATTAAAAATATTTATAAAAGTAATTATCACATAAATGTACCAATGAACAAAAGAATTCTTTCTCTGCATATAGTATGCGAAAATTGATCACCACGCGGATTTGCTAAGGACCACAGTGAGCATTGAACACGAAAACAAGGTGGGCGTATGTAAGAAGTCGAATAACAGTTGTTATTACCACCGATGTGGTCGAATTTTGAGCAATATTTACCGACGTACTTAAATGTACATATTATATGTAAATATGTATAATATACAGTACGTAACTTTCTTGGGTTCATTGCTTTCAACTTATAGTCGAATGAATGTGTAGTTTGTAGTCTTTGTATCGGAAAATATCAAGAGAAATTATCAATCGTTGATTCCTTAGAATTTATTTTTTAAGCTACGCCAACTACTTGGAGCTTAGCTTTGCCAAAATCATTAGACATCATTAATATGCCAGTTATTAAAAATTTTTTATGCAAACAGATATTCACCCATTCATATGCATACATGCATATATATGTACATACATAAGTATTTTTGTACAAATATTCCGCATTGTGTTCGTGTGCGAGTACTTAAGATCGGCGTGAAAGAAAATGGCATGTATTTACGTTAAAAATAAATTCATTTATGTATGTACATACAAACATATACATATCTATCGAATTTTGGAGAACAACATGGAAGAATTTGACAAAAAAAGTCAACGAATTGTAACCGAATGACACATAATGCGTATTTTCTAGATATTTTTAGAACTTTGTAATATCTGTTTAATTATTCCTGTAAACTAAATTTACTAACAAAATAAAAAAAAAATGTATAATAGAGGAACATTTTTAGTATAAAAACGAAGCACAAAAAATTTCGCTCCTCTAATAAAACCTCGCACTCTTCGATTGCATTTCTGATAACATAGAAATGAAGCACTGCGTAGCGGAGCCCACACTAGTGGCGCACATACCTTCGAAAGATATGTGAGTGGAGCGGAGTCGCTGGATAAAAGGCGCAGTAAGCTTTTTAATAGATGGATCGTAGCTCAGGGATAAGGTTAAGGGGGTAGTCTTCTGTCCGGAGTTCTCAATCAACTCTTGCTTCAGACTGTCAGACTATTGCACTGTCTTTCCAGCAGAAGTGACAGTCGTCAGTGTAGCAGCAGATGTGCTTCTCTAAAGTGCAACTTCTCTCAGGGAGCTATGCATGCACTCCGATTGCAGAGTGGCAACACAGGCCTTGAGCAGAGGCATCAAGGTACTTCCACATTAGATTTGTTTTGATGCCTTATCACAGCATAATCGCTGGAAACTGTTAAACCGATGAACCCAGATTCCAGCAGTATATTAACGAGCCGATGTTCCCCTGCCGTCTTGCGTTCTGTCGCTGG